TGAAAATAGCATGAATATAGAAATTAGATTCCCTTAATATCTGAAAGGACTTTTAAAATGACGTGGAAAACATTTTAAAGCTTTTTTTAAATCTCGCTTATTTCTCGACCTTAAGAAAAGCTTCTGTTGTGATGGAGCTACACTGCGAAACTCATTACCTAAATGCAAGCGTCGCTTATAATTTGAGTTTGTGTAATTGTCGAGGGTCGAAGGTCGTACGTCGAGGTCAAGGGTCAAAAGTCGAAGGTCGAAAATAGTAAATTTTTATCCATTTTAAAAGTTTTACAACCATTTGAAAGCTTCCAAACGCGGCAAAACAATTAGTTTTGCTCTCAAAACTAGAAAATTTCGCCTATGGCTATAATCTATGTATACTGAAAGTTTCGCTTGAGGAACTAAAAGTCGAATGCGAGATTTGAATTTTGAAAGTATACTTATTTTAATATACATTGGAATTTAAAATATACAAACATGGGCGATAATCAGAGGCGAAGATACAAAATTTGCGTTTCGCTCTCATGAGCAATTTGATTATAAAAGGCTGTTTATATGGCCCGCTTACCCAGGATTCAATGAAGTGTGACGTATTTTGATCGAGCAATTGAAATACGTGTTTCAGCCCTAAACAAAAGTTAGATAACTTTAAATATTTTTTAAACGAAATTAGGAATGCGCTAGAAGTTATGTAGTGGAAGAAGACGGTTAATAGCTTTCAACAACATTTGGTTTTTTGTTAAGGCATGGAATTTCATACAATTTGTAACGAGCAATTTTGTTAGATCATGATGTGCGTCTAATTTAAATTGCTGAAAATACGTCACGTCACACTTCATTAAATCCCGGGACCCGATGGCAGCAACAGAGTTCTGAAATTGCTCAGAACTTCAACTTAACGATACCCCCTATAGGGTATGACATCGTGATAACATGTCTGATATGTTGGATAAGTTGCAGGAAAGTATGGGTAAATGCACACTCTGCGGACATGTTCATGAGAATATAATTTTTTTGTGTAATGAAATCTACAACACTTGTCAATCATATTGCATGCTGTGTCTAAAAATAACATGTCGGCGTCCAACGCTCTAGCCAGGTTTGTGTCAGGCCCTATTTAAAATTAGGGCCTGAACTTCAGGTTATTTTCGGAATAGAGTAGATTTGTATCATCAGCAAATAGGTAAAATTTAAATTTCTTAGAGCAATTTTCAATATCATTAATATAAAGCAAGAAAAGTAATGGACCCAAAACCGATCCTTGAGGCACGCCACACGTTATAGTAGCCTTTTTGGATATGTGATTACCAATTTGTGTAGTTTGCGTTCTACTATTTAAATATGAACTAAACCAATCATTAATTATTCCTCTAAATCCGTAATAACATAATTTTTGTTAAAGAATTTCATGATCAACGGTATCAACGGTATCAATCTTTTTTTAAATCAATAAATACTCCGCAAGAAATTAATTTCGTAGCCATATTTGACTGAATGGTATTAACAATATCAAGAAATGCATGTTCAGTTGAATGCAATTCTCGAAAACCATACTGACAGGAAAGGATAGCAATTTTTTAATAAAGCTCTGCATCCTTTTATACATCATCTTTTCAAAAAGTCTATTAAAATTAGATAATAGCGATATCGGCCGGTAATTATTAGCATCAGTCCTGTCATCATTTTTAAATATTGGAATGATTTTTGACATTTTTAATTTGGATGGATATACTCCTAACTCAATTGATAAATTTAATAATCTACACAATACGTTAGTAATAATATCGCTGGCACATTTCAATATCTGAGAGGGACATGAATATAAACCATGTGCTTTCTTGATTGGAAGTGCTAAAATCTCAAGTTTCACTTCATCAGGAGTAATTAGATTAAAACAAAACAAATCTCGCGGAGATTTAGATTTTAAAAGAAAGTCGGAATAGTGCTTTCGCGGGTCTAGTAACTGGTTAGCCAATTTATGTCCAACTGATGCAAAATGATTATTTAATATATCTGGGATATCGGTTACGTTTCTTATAAGTCTATTACCATTATTATGGTCTTTGATAGCTTGAATGCAGGATGATTTCTGAGTTTTACGATTCATAATAGTATTAATTTCTTCCCATGTTTTTTCATATTCGTCAAATGTTTGTTAAAATTTTCACAATAATAGTTAGCTTTACTTAATCGTATTAATCTTTGTATTCGATTTCTGTATATTTTATACTCAGACTGTTTTCCTTCAGCATATAATTGATTTTTGTGTTTAATAGCTGTTCTTATTCCTTTAGTAATCCAACGTTTCGAGAGCCGTTTAGCTTGACGACGCGATATCAGTTTGATTGGTGCGTGTTTATTCAGTATCGCATTAATTCTTTTATAAATAAAGCAAAATGTTTTATTAATATCCCTATTCCCTTTTAGGAATATTTCATCCCAATCTGTGAGAGACAATTCATTGTTAAAATTAACAGCAGAAAATTGTGAAAAGTCACGTCGTTGTTGCTTTTATTGGTATTTCTATTTTATCCTTAGTTGATTTAAAAATACAGAATTGAGGGAAATTATCAGTTATATCAGAAATTATGTTCCCACTAATTGTTACTCGTTCCGGCATATTTATGAAAATATTATCTATCACTGTTGCAGGGCCTATTTTAGTGTGCAGTATTGCACACTTTGTGCAGTATTGAGTAAAAAGTATGCAGTATTGAAAGCGAAAGTGTAAAGTATTGAAATTTGAAGTATGAAATAAATTTCAACTTTGTGTTAGATGTGCTGAAGGGACGAAGTAGGTGAAATATAAAGTCGAGAATTCCAAAATGCCTTTGCAACAAAATGAGCAAAGGCACAAACAAATATTGGCCAAATATACGCCAGTAATAATTCCAATATTCAATATTTTCATGTCCAGAAAAGCCGGTGTACTTCTTTCCTCCACAAGAGGGAAGAGCCTGGAAACGAAATTGTCATTTGTGTCGCATCAGAGAATTACTACAATAGGTTATGGCTGATTTGATTTTGAAAGGGTTTACTTTTTGGGGCGACACCCTGTATATTGTCATTACGTTCTATATAAAAACATAACAATTCAAAGATGACGTCAAATGGTGAAGTTATTGATGACACATGCTCTAAAGTGTGCAGTATTGAAATTTCCTTAGAATAGGCCCTGCAATGTTGGAGAATTATTATAAACCCGAGTAGGCTTATCAATGGAGGGAATGAGGTAACGACTTTGCAAAGAAAGAAAGAAATCTCGGCTATAACAAGCGCTTTCAATTTTTAATAAATGCAGATTAAAATCTCCCATAATACATAACGATTTTCCAGTCGCTGTAAAATTTTCAATAACCTCATCAAAATATTCTTTAAATTTATGCGGAGAATTATGCTGTCTATAGATTACTCCAACAGTAATATTTTTCTTTTGAACAAAAGATATTTCTATCCATAATGCTTGAAACGCTTCATTAGAACTTTTTTTATTACTTCATAACTTAATGACCTATCAATATACATTCCCACTCCACCAGAACTCAAAGGAGTTGGTACAAATTCGAAGTCATACCCTGGAATTTGCGGGCAATTAATATAGTTATTAGCCTACGGTGTAGATCCCAGCAGAAACACGTTTCGTGAGGGGTCTACGAATAAACGAAGAAAAGCTTGCCCGGCCACGTCATATCCGTTTTACGTTTTGGGTAAATTAACTTCAATTTATTCAAATTTCTGAAGCGTGCGCAAATTTTCATTTGACGCTTATTAAAATGTTCCATAGCGGTTATTTGCTTCAAAGTCCCGTCGAATAAAAGCGATATTAATTTCTTGGACAGCAAGGAGAACATACGTAAGGAGTTAGTTGACCTTTCCTCCTTCATTTCACCTACAAATAACATTTGTAAAGCATGCCTGGCGTTGGTAAACAAACGGTGAAACGGCGAAGCTTCAAAGAACGGTTTAATATGTGAGCTAGACAACACGATAACGAACGTGCACGAAAAAGCATTAAACGCTATTGGTATACCGCTTAAAGTAAAGCGAAATGTGAGGAAACTGGGATTCAAGCCGACTTGCGATAAAATGTTTATGCCGGCTACATTTAGTGCGAATTCAACTTTGCCTTCGACTCCAGAAATTGGATGTCTTGACAAGTTTCAAGCCTTCAACAGCCTAACAATTTGTACTTTTTAGTCTGTTTGGACATGTGTTTAATGGTTGGGTATATATATATAGTCGGGTATATTTTATTGCACAAAGTCCGGCCTAGCCATGGAACATTTTAATAAGCGTCAAATGAAAATTTACATTTACGCACGCTTCAGAAATTTGAATAAATTGAAGTTAATTTACCCAAAACGTAAAACGGATATGACGTAGGCCGGGCAAGCTTTTCTTCGTTTATTCGTAGACCCCTCACGAAACGTGTTTCTGCTGGGGTCTACACCGTAGGCTATATAGTTATTAGATCTGATCTTTGTTTCGGTAAGACCTATAATATTGAAGTCATAATCAAGCTCATCAAATAAATGACTTTGTTAATTTTTAAAATTTAAATTTAAGCTTCTAGTATTGTTATGGAAAATAGATAAGTTTTCTTGCGGACTAGATAATGCGGCTTTGTTTTTCTTTAATTTAAAACTATGAGGAGAATAATAATGGCTTTATAATTGCTGAAATGACATATAATTATTTAGGTATAAATTATTATCATGCATGGTATTAAGATTAAACAAATTTAAATCATGGAAGCCTGACAATTTCTCAAGGTCTCTCCTAGATTTCAACTCAGAGAAACCTTTGAAGATTGAGGCCAAATCTCCTTTAAAATTATAGAAGGGTAGTTCTTTACACAACTCTCTGTTCATTGAGGCATGACTTTGGTTATGCTTAGCTAACATTTCGTTTCTCCTTTACTAAAACTGATTCTCAAGAAATACAACACACACATACAATTTATATTATAATGTTAACTTAGCTCAGTATGTGACTTGAAGTTCCATTTAGCGTCGAGTTGCCATTGCTCTCAGATCAACCAGATTTTTCAACTTATAGGCACGCGAGCTTTCAGATTCTCGAAGAAAGATAAAACAATTTTTCGCCCAACAGAAATTATATCCATTTGCTTCTTTAAATAACTTCGCTTCACGCAAAAGAGTTTGCAGCCGAGGACTTAAGTGGTCATAAAGTTGTAGCGCTTCCAATGATAATTGTTCATGGAAGCCAACATCACAAGGAGAGATCTTAAATACATTCTTTCGTGCAGACATAACCTTTTCCTTTGAAATGCGTCTGGTAAATTTACAAATGATTGGTTTAGGTTTGTTCGGGAAATTTCTTCTCGTTGCTACCCGGTGGGATATATCAATATCATAGGGAGAAATATCTTTTACACCTAGAGTTGTAAGTAGACGTAGGCAAATCTCAACTGTTTCGTCAGCCCTTTCATACTCGCTGACTACAGGCATACCAACTATTTTCACATTGTGATTGAAGCTACAGTCTTCTATCGCCGCTATAGCATTTGAAATTTCTGTATACTTCTTCGATACTTTTTTATTTCAGCTTTTATATGGTCATGTTCCTTCAGGACTTGATCATACTGATTACTGAGGAATTCAACTGATTTCTTTTTCTCAGACGACAAAGGTTCTTCTTGCTCGCCTGATCGGCCATTAGCACTGCTCGCTTCTTTTGTCGACAAGACATTGTGACTTAAATTATCTACTTTTTCCACCAATTTTTCAATTTGAATTCTTCAAATCTTCATTCTCTTCCTTTAAACATTTAATATGTTCAAATACCCGCCAGAACACGGTTGAACTTCGTTTGGAACCTTGTCCGAAACCTTGTCCGGGATTTTGTCCGAGACATAAAATAACGAGAAAGGAAGTTATGTTACCAAAGAATACGACAGCCAGCACCGGAAACCTATCAACCCAAACCTAAACGTCTGCAAGTCCTGTGGTAACACCGAATTTGAGACAATGGATTAGTACCGAATCTGCACCGTCTGTTTTGCTCAGGAAGACATTCCAACATTATTTTCGGATTTCGAAGACGAGTAGAGAGCAAACGTGAATCGCTAAGGCATACCGAAAAGTCGAAGGAAACCGAATCCAGCTCTACTGTCTCGGAAATTGTGCAGGTTCCCTACATCACGGTGACACCTTCCTCACCGGTAAGACCCCGGCTAAGATGGAAGGACTTACGGAAGAATGTTCAGAAGGAGGCGATAATTAAGTCCTACGTCATGAAGGTGTCCAAGAAACATTACTCTTCGTTGCGGAAAAGCAAGGATCGTTTTCACGTTTGTTGGGAACGAACCCAACCGAATGTCGTTTATATATCAAATAATAAACTCCACGTCATTACACTTTATTTACTCTCAAATTTAGTTTCTTCTAAGCAGTACATCATGAAAAATATCTTGTACATATCAAATATCCATGCATCATTTTGTCCTCGATTCTGTCCGTATTTCGACTAATATCGGTCGTAAACAAAGGTTTGCCACATTGAATTACAAATGACGTTCATTAACAACAAGTTCAAGTGGTTCAAAGTCAAAATGAAAGAAATACTTACATCTTATGGCGATTTTAAAGCAGATTACGTTTGTATATCTATCACGAATTTCAATAGTTTTCAAAAGACCTCGCTCGCGTGGACTGGCCCTAAAGTAATTATGCTAATGTCAACAAACGGCGCGAAATAATTAGACTAATTATACTAGCGTCCGTAACATTCCGGCCCTCCAATGAGCGTATCACGTTAGCTCATTTACCACCTTTATTCGTCAGCCTCCAGGAAGCACAACTTCTGAATTGGACGTTTCAAAACATTGTTTTTCGTTTTCACTTCGGCGACTCTGACAAAACCATCCTTTCCACGAAACACTTCCATCACTCCTCCAAATAGCCAATGTCCTCGTTGAAGATTCTCGTCTAGTAGGAGTACAAGATCACCAACTGCTAAATTTCGTTGTGGTGTAAGCCATTTCTGTGGAAACTCCGAAGAAATTCATATTTTTAATTCTACGTTTCGACTACTGTTGAGTCATCATCAGGAATTATGAAAGCTACTAAAATTTTACAAGTTATAAGTACAGGTGTGTTATAAGATGATCTAATCTGTCAACAAGTTCTAATTAAAGATAACAAGTTCTTTTGACGCTTTAGTCCCATGGTTTAATTCAGGATGCTGTCTGTGGATATGTAAAGCTTTTTTATATAGTAGAAGCTACCAGTTCATAGACTTAGCAATAATTACAGTATTGTTAAGAACAGTTTGAAGTAGTAGTTCTAGGTTGTTAAAAGGTGAAACTAATAGTGGATTTAAATTATAAAAGTGTTCACACAAATTGGTATGTCTAAAAATCTTAGAGTCTTTCGAATCAGAATATTCCTTTAATCTAGTGATAAGGCATCTATCTGTTTTGCCAACATAAGATGAGAGCCTCTAAAAGATTGACAATGGCGGTCATACATGGTTGTGCTCCGTTTTTAATTGCAATTTTCACAGTCCTGGTAGGACGAAACTATAACTATAATAACAATTTTCGATCAACATTCTGAGGTGCTAATCTTAGCCGAAATGCCTTTTGAACCTTCAAGGCAGCAAATATTTTGCCGAAGTCATGTCATGTTGAAGCGAAACTCGTACAGCTGCATCTCTACTGTGTATTATAGCAATCACACAGCAACGTTTAATGTAGAGCTTATCGCTTTACATGGTGATGTGTCTCCTAATCCTGGACCGGTAACTGATAATACTACAAACAACAGCGCAGAAAGAGAAGTAAGGTATCCTAAGTTCTCGTTTGAGTCCAAAGGACTTCGACTTGGCCATCTAAATGTTAGATCACTCCCGAGACACCTGGACGAGATTAAAGCTTTGGTTTGTTTAAATAATGTGGATATCTTCGCAATGAGTGAGACATGGTTAAACTCTACTTGGAACGATTGTGAACTGAGTGTTGACAACTACACGATATATCGATTGGACCGAACTGGTAGTTCAACCTCGAGGAGTTCAAGCAAGGGCGGTAGTGTAGCAGCTTATGTGAAGAACTCACTTCATCCTCGCCGTGTCAATTATTCAGACTCAGGTATTAACTTTGAACACATTTGTCTGGAAATTAAGTAACATCAATCAGGCCCCAAATTTCTGTTTATATCTCTTTATCGGCCTCCGATGCTGAATTTTACAACATACTCGGTAAGCTATTAGATATTGCATCTAGTAAATACAATGAAATTACTGTCGTTGGAGACTTCAATGTTGATTTATTAACATCAGGCCATCCAGCCAGGAAACTGTCTAATGTTTTTCGTGACAATGGCATGCATCAAATTGTCAATAATCCGACTCGAGTCACAACATCTACATCTACATTGATAGATCATGGTTGTTTACCATTTACATGGAAATTCTGGTGATTCCATACGGAAAGTAAATGGAACAAGCATATTTCGACTGCCCAACCGGAACTTTTCCGGAATAAACGGTTTGTTTGAAAAGGTTGCCCTCTCTTACCGATTGGAAAGTTTCAACCGGTAAATGTTGTTCCATTTATATTTTTTTTAATTTTTTCACTAGTTCTAGGCTCTTCGCGATTTAACAATTGAAATTATTAAATGGAAAGCGAATAATCTGAATGGGATTTTCTATCCGAAATTTTGCTTACCATTAGCACAATTTCAAACCGGATGGGTTTTACATGTAAATGGCAAACAACCCATGTGTACGTCACTCATAAGGATCGAATTGTAGAATCCTTTGTGCCGGTATATGGCCTTAGTGATCACTACCCCGTATTGTTTGTCCATAAATTTCGCGGTAAAAATATCCCTAAATCCCAACATGAAACTATTTCCTACCGCAAACTAAAGAATATAGACCGGTCTAGTTTTCTTGACGATTTAAATTCAGCACCATGGACATTATTAGAAATTTTTCAAGATGTGAATGACAAATTGGACATTTGGGATTTAATTTTCAATGAAGTTCTTGACCGTCATGCTCCCTTGATGAAGAAAAGGGTAAAATCTAGGCAACTACCACCCTGGTTAAATAGTGACATTTTACATCACATGCGCTTGAGAGATCGATTTAAAGCACGGGCCAAATCAAATATCCTTGCCAACGTTATTTACAAACGACTTCGGAATGCAGTCGTTAAAATGATTGCTAATGCGAAATCAACATATATTAAGAGCGGCTGTCTCTAATTGTCAGGTAAGACGTGTAAAATGAGAAAATTCAAAATCCTTCAAACTTTGTCAGAATGTAGGCCTATATGAAGTATTAATGTTGTGAAAGTTTTATTTCGATCGGATAAATATTGAAGGAGAGAGACGTCGAAATTGGTTTTCCCAGGTCACTTTCGGTTTTTAGAGGTCATTTTACGGCACTACCAAAATCGCTCTATTTTGCACGATAGTGGCAATATTTCATAAGACATGATTTCGTTTTATAAATTAGAGTTATTTATTGATTAGCAGACGAAATTTAGAGACATTTCTGTAAAAAGTGAATATTTTACAGATTTTCTTAATGTTTTTTTTATTTTCGAACCTCTTTATTATATGCTATATTAGGCAGCAAATATCTCCATTGTTACATCGATTCAAACAAAAATTTCATAACCAGGTCAAAGAAATATGTTTTCGCTTGCTATTGTTGAAATAAAATTTTGGGTCAACTTAGAATTGAATTTTTGACGAATTTTTTCGTAACCCCTATTTGACCCGAATAACCGTATGTTATATAATCAGCGTCGAGTCATGTAGTTCAATAAATAACCAAAGAGCTCGTCAAAAGCGTTTATTTCTTCGAGTAAACAAGCCTAGGCCTATAAAACTACCTTAGCTAAAGCTGTACGATTGGTTAGAAGCATTTAGGTCTAAATCACACTGTTTACAGTCACTTATTGTTCACGTAATGCCCGATAGCCGGTGCCGCTGATTTGGCAGACTTGGTTTCAATTTCACAATTATATTTTATCAGGAATATGCCGCGATAAGTACATGGCTAGTATATTTTCTCTCCCCCTCCTATAAACATGTGTTCTCTCACGACTCGTCGTGCTTATATACTTTTCGTACATAAATAGTGCACGCGCTTTTTGTCAAAAACATCGCATTGTTTTGACGTATTTTTAGTCGTATTTCCGGTTGCGTTAGCTCATTTCGAGCCTCGAGCTCACAGCCGGACAAGAAATGGAAATACCGTGATAAAAGATGGAAATTTGAAGATACAGGCTTGCATATCACTCTGAATAGTGTTTTTGATGGGGATTCGAACAAGACTATTACAAAGGCAATATGTGTGAAGGGGCCGAAGTTATTTTCGGCGAAAGGTATGGCTAGTCTATATTTTTGTTCAGACAATCGCGTATTAATTTCGCGTTAGACTTTCAAACTCCCATAAATCGCTACAGTGTTAATAATGACTATAACTATCGTTCGTAGTTAGTTGATCTTTTATATCTG